CAGGAAGAGGCCTGAGAGATCAGCCAGGAGGTTCCGAGGGAGGAGTCTGGAAACACAGCCGGTTTCTGGATGAAGGCACAGGTCGCTGAGGAAGCGCTGGGTTAGGAGACAGAGACGCTGAGCTGAATACACACCTACCCTTCCCACTTAATGAAAGGAAATGCTTTCACGAGTCGGCCTTGCGTGGGTGACCAGATCTATGGTCAGGACCTGCTCCTTTTAGCCCCAAATCAGGGAGAGCATGGCTCGGGGTCTGGAATTAGGTGCGGAGGATGGTAAGACCAATCCGGTTAGGGGCGCAATCTTTAGGAAGCTCATAGATAAGCAGAAATATGGCTCCGAAGACCCATTTTTCTCTTTTTTATTTTTTTCCCTGAGTTTTAGTTTGTTTTGTCTCTGGCAGAGTGGTGGACAGTGCAGGAAAGGGATGCTACAACCCAGGCTTCAAAGGGAAGTTCTTCATTCAAACGAGGACGACAGAAAGGCAGCGGGGAGGGGCTGCTCTCCTCTCCGGGCTGTCCGTGCAGACAGCAGCCTGAGCAGGTGGTGGGCCAACTTCCATATTGTATTGTGTTGAAAGAATCCCTAAATAACAGGCAAATTCACATACACAAAAGTAGTTTCAAGAATAAAGAAAACAGCAGTTCCCTCCGTCAGAGTGAGATGAGAAGCACACTGTGCACGACACTTCAATATTTCCACTTACGGCCCTCTGAATTACTTCAAGTATTTCGCCTCACTTCTACTCACTTTCGATTTACAAAGAGGGCTGGAGGCAGGGGCACACCAGTCACCCCAGGCTGTGGTGGTGCCACACCACAGGGGAAGGTCCGGGGTCACGCCTGGCACACGCACATGTGCCCATGTTCTGGGCTAGCTGGGCCTGGGTGGATCGTGGCAGGGAGACTGTGTAGAAGGAGATGGTCTCTCTCTCTCTTTCTCTCTCTCTCTCTTTCTCCCTCTCTCTCTCTCTCTCTCTTTCTCCTTCTCTCTGGCTGAAGTATGTATAAGTGAACAAACTTAAACCAAGTAAAGTAAAGAGAAATAAACCAAGATGTCTCCAGATGCCATGTAACACACTCAACGTGACCCGAGGTTCAAGGCGGCGTATCGCGGAATGACACCACAGCCTTCTTCATGAACAGTCGTGAGCTTTGTACGTACGAGAACCAAAGGGAAGCGCCCAAGACCCCAGGGCCCACTGTGGACGCTGAAGAAAAGACCCACGCACAGCCCTTCTCACCATCCTGCCGTCAACGTGGGTAATGATACCTGGCATCTCCAAAGAGCATTCAACATCTTGAGCGTCTACGCTGTCTTCCCAAGGTAGCAAACGACAGCTGTCAGGTTGGCACCCGTGAGAGCCCTTCCACTACCCCCACGCTAGAAGTCAAAGAAAAGCCCTACTAACTTCTAGATCTCCGGACCACCTTCTCGCAAAGCCCATCTTCTTGGAGAGCTGAGAGAAGGCTCCGCTAGGACACAGAAAATAACATTTAAGTCCGACCTTATACCTGGATTCTAAAGCGGGTGAGTAATACTTTGCACCTTAGGAAGCGCTTTCATCTGAGTCTTTCAAGAGCTGGGAACGAAGCTGATTATTACCTGCCCCCTTCACGATTGTGAGGGAAGAGCTTAATCCCTAATTTGCTGACGGGGACACAGAAGCTGCCAGGATGAGAGGAGGCTCTGAAGGGCACACAGTCATCTGTGAAAGGCTCCCTGGAGAAGCGTCAAGTGCTCTGACAGAGGAGCCATGGCCTTACACAATCAGCGCTGTGCTCATCCCACCTGCTCTGCCCCATCCTCGCCAGGCCTGTGCTGAACCCACTCCCTCCTCCCGTAAGTGGGACTCAGGCCTCTTTATGCAAATGCACTTTGTCAAAAATGTAGACGCCTATAATTTCATCCTCAGCCCCGTCATCTTTTTAAAGGTCTTGGTGGAGAAGTTCGCCAACATTCCACGTGAGTGGAAATCCCCATCGGAGAATTCTCATCTTCTCCTGGCTCCTTTGGCTACACCATCAAACTCTCACAGGGGACCAGCAGGTGGCGTGGTGGTTAAGGTGTTGGACACTCCCACACGGCCAACCATGGTTCGAGTCCCGGACCTGGTGGCTTGCTTTCTCATTTTCTCTCTTTCTTTGTCTCTTTTTTTCTGGCCAAATTAAAAAATAAATGATTGGGAACCAGCAGTTAGCGTAATGGCTATGTCGCTGGACTCCCACGTAGTCAACTGCGGTTCGTGTCCCGGACCTGGTGGCTTAAAACTCACGCCGGGCGCGTGTGTGTGCGTGCCCAAGATCCCGAGAGGAGAATGGAGGAGAAGAATAAATAAATAAATAAATAAATAAATTATTGAATTAAAAAATTAAATAAATAATTTAAAAAACAAAAACTAAAAAAACCTCTCGCAGAGATCAAGGGAACATTAGGCATTATTTCAGCCAGGGGAGCTGTTTTGATCACAGGCAACGCTGAGTATCTGGCTTGAGGTGTGATGTCAGACCAGACTCCGCAGCTCCTGCCTCCTCCAACCCCACTGTGCTGGGCACACCGAGGGTGACTTCCAGTGAGTCTCAGCATTTTACGTGTCTTCATCTTGCACGCAAAGGTGACAAGGCAAAGCTGTCCCCCACGGCTATACCCAGTGTAAGGCTGTGCCTTAGCAAGCCCCAGACCCTCCCTTGGAGATCGAGCATTGGTGTTCCAGGAGGGCCTGCAGGAGCGCTGCATGGCAAGGGACCCCCGCCAGTCTCTAGGAGCTGAGTGGCCCCAGAGGGACAGCCAGTGACAGGGCAGATCTCAGACGCACAGCCGCGAGGAATCGAATTCCCAACAATTACATGAGCTTGTAAGACAACACCAGGATCCAGAAGAGATGGGGCCCAATGGGACCGTGGCTGTCGCCTGGGAGTCTCCCATCGAGGGACCTAGCTGGGCCGTTTCTGAGCCCCCAAGCCTCAAAACTGTGATGTGTCTTTTAAAGACACAAGGTATGTGTCTATTTGTTAAACAGCAATAGAAAATGATACAAATATCTTTCATTTTTAGATAAAAAGGTATGAATGTAAAACGTTTTTAGGTTAAAAAATGTCATTGACAAGTATTAAAGTAATGCCTGGAAGATACATGTGAGTGAGGTAGGCACTTTGAGTATTTCACTCATCTCCACGGAAGGGAAGCTGGTGGAGCCGGGTGTCCAAAGCACAGAGTTCTAACCATGCAGAGGGTCTCTCACCCTGTGCCTTCAAAATGAGGGAGAGGCTATGAATGATGAACTAACAGAAGGACAAGCAAAGAGACCTCACTGTATTAAAACTCCATGGCCCCGTAGACCATTTGTGACCACCTAAAAAGTGAACTGAGGTTATATTTGATTTTGAAAAGTACCACAGAGTAAGATTACGGATCTTGCCTATCAACACTTGTGCGGCCTTTAGGTCAGTGGCTCTCCAACGTGGCTTTCTGTCCGCTTTCTAGTACGATGTAGAATTTACTAATAGGAAGAATTCCTGAGGGCTCTGTTGCTCAAAGTCACAGCTGAGTCTGGGTAATTTACAAACATAGAGGTTGATTAAGCTAGCCCAGGCCCCGGGGCTGCTCTGGTGAGGGTCTTCCTGCTGGTGGGATCCATGGCCCAGGGCGGAAGTGTGTGTAGAGTGGAGTGTCTCTCTCCTCCCCCCGCCATAGGCCCAACGGTACTCACTCATGGAGGCCAGCCCCCCATGCCTCGATTGTCTCAAAGGCCCCACCTTTCAACACCATAATCACACGAAGGTTCCACTCTCTCTACTCTGTTGTGACGGCTCACGAACTTAACAGACATTCCGGGAGATGCACCCGAACCATAGCACAATGAGTATGACCACAGATGTAACAGATTGTAACAGCCGGGGATATGCGCTAAGACCTGTTACTGTCTACACCCGGTTAGACGCCCTCTTCCCCAGGACCCCCTGGAGTTACAGTGTAGCCAGTCTGGGCACTGGCATTTGACTTGATCCTTTTGTTCATTATCACCATTGGGTCCATTGGGTGATTTTGGGATAGAAACAATGTATATATCTTAGCCATCCTGGTTCTGTGCTCTTCAATTGTGGCTACACACTATAACTTCCTGAAAAGCTTTATAATCCTGACACCCTAGCTTTCTCCCAGAGCAACTCCATCAGTCACCAAGCACAGTACCCACCTGTTCGTAATGTTGAACGCTCCCTAGACAATCGACGTGGAGTTACGGTTGACGTTGCTGAACTGTAGATAAGTCTTTGTATCTTTCTGCACCGGTTCTAACTTATAATTCTGCCATCAATACCAGAGGCACTACCTGGGAAGCCCAACACTAGAGGTGGAGTTCCTCAGTGGACCCCAATCTGACTCCAAGACTTAAGCCAAGCCCTCAACAGTGCCAAGATGAAGGGACTGCTGAAACTTACTGAGAGATGTTATCATGCTAGTGGAAAACGACAATGAACCCTAAGAGATGAGTTGATGCAACTCTTTTCCCCTAGCCCTCTTTGTTTACTGTGCAATAACACTGAGCCAGCCCTTGCCTGTGAAAGTGAGTTCACGCGCACCTGGATAGTGACTGTGTCCACACCTGGGAAGGACCAGGGACACGGCACCCGTGCTGGGTTCTCTCCCAGCGGGGCATGCTCCCTCTCATGGCCCACTGCCCCTCAGAGCACTCTGTAAGTAAAGTCAAAAAGAAAATTCTTACATTCTTAAATCCTCTGTAAAGAATCTGAAGCTCTTTCTTGGTGAATTTGCTCTGGGCTTCCAGAAGCTCAAGAGCCTCAGGCCGATGCCTGACGGTGGCCATCTCCAGCTCATCTTCCACGCTATCTGTGGGAGAGAAGCACAAAGAGACATGAGAGCAGGCCCAGCCGAGCTCCGCAGCAACACAGGAGGCTAAAGGGCCAGAGATCTGCCCGGAGGAGAGACCCGATGCTGCCCGGGTGGAACCGCAGTAGGTTAAGACATTCGACGCTACGTTTGTTTTTGCACATCTTAGTAATTCCTGTAGACATTACAATTCTAGCATTTTTAAGATTATTTATTTATTCTAGAGAGAGATTTTTCCTACAGGGCATGTGAGCTCACTGGAGAGACAGAGACAGAGAGACAGAAACCGAGAAATCACCCTGTGGACAGTAACTGTTTTCTTTCAAATCACTGTCTTCTCCAGTCATTGCTCTGAGAAACGACGTAGACAAAAGTACGGTAAATTTTAATGAGATTTGCTGAGTGTCTTTCATCATGTCTAGACCCTGTGACCTTCTACTGGGAAGAAACAAACAGCACATTAACCTCTCGGCCTTTGTACCACGAGAAGTCCAAGCTGGCTACCAACAGCGCTTCCTTCACCAGCTGCTGGGGACCCGCAAATGCCAGTTCTGAGACCTCGTGGCGCAGAGCCGGAGGGCCAGCGTAGCTGAATTAAGTGAGCATCGCAGGCGATATTCAACCGAGCTACACCTGCAGAGTCTGCCTGCAGGCGCCTGCTGTCCCGCGGCTCAGCCCTGCTTCTGAATAACCCCGACCTGCCCAGGGCTGTTTCTATTTCTAGGAGGCTGACGGGCTCTAAAAACATACCTGAGGTCAGCAGCACATGGCAGGTGTGAAAAGCAAATCCACCAACCCAGGCAACGCGGATTCCCAGAGGGAGTGCTGAGGGGCCACGGCATGATGCCATGTGGGGGTCCAGTTCACTGCGACCTAGCGCAGGTCAGAGCCCAGGCTGGTGGCATTCGAACCGGTGCCCCTCTTCACTGAGCCCTTGTCCCGTGCCAGAAGATAGGGGACATGCTAATGACATGATTCTCACCCTCACAGGGAGTCCGACGTGCCCAGTTTCACACACAGGGAGACGGAGTCTCCTACAGGTTCAGAATCGCGGGGGCAGAAGTCACATAGAAGAAGGGACAGGGCCAGGCTCTCCGCCTGTCTTCGATGTCACAGCTTCTACTCGGCCACCCTCTTTCTTTCGATAATGACAGGAATGAAAGTGATAAAAATATTGACAACGCGCTCCTCTCCTGCTCTGTTAAACTTTTCAGAAGAGCTGACTACAGGTAGTCCCCAGGACAGCAAGTACCAGTCTGTAAACGCTGGTATTCGGCACATTGCACGGGCCACGCACATCCGTGATGAGCCAGGCTGTGAGGTGGGCAGTTTCGCCCAACCGTAGGCCAGCCTGAGTATTCTGAGCCTGTCAACGCAGACCAGGCTGAGGCAGGCTGCCCCGTGGGCAGGTGAGGTAGAGTAAGTGCATTTGTGAACCTTTGGATTTACGGTGTTTACTTGGACATTCAAGGAGCACCTGCGAGTCCACAGGGCCCACTTATAACCTCCTGATCTCCCTTTAATCTACTTCGGTCTGACTCCTGGTCCTGTCAGGGGCTGTGCTGTGTCCTCCCAAATTTACATGTTGAAGCCTTACTCTCCACGTGACTGATCTTAGAGGGAGGGCCTTTGTAGAGGTAGTTAAGATCCAGTGAGGTTATGAGAGTGGGCCAGCCATCCAATGGGCCTGGTGTCCTTGTTAACAGAGGAAGAGACACCAGGAGTGTGGGCTCATAGGGGAAAGGTCATGGGAGGCCACAGCATGGAGGCGGCACCTGCTGTTGCTGCGTGGACCCTGGACTTCCATCCTCCAGAATGGTGAGAACATTCATTTCTGTTGTTGGGCCACCAGGTGCACCATATGTTTTATAGCAGTCCTGGCAAGTGAGTCTATATCGATACTCAAATGCTACCCACACTAAAAAGGCCGATGTTATTACTCAGAATTTTCCCAGTGAGTGCTAGGCAGTTTCCTAGTCAATTATTATCATGTACTCTACCATACTCAAGAAACGGGTTATCATTCCCATCTTAGAGATGAGAAAACTGGAGAGTTTAAGTAACATGGCAACCCAAGGACACATGGGTGGCTTATAACGAAGCCTCAACCCCAGTGTTTACTGCAATATGATTCACAGCAGGAAGATAAGGAAACCACCTACATGTCTATCAACAGATGAGTGGATAAAGAAAGTGTGGTATTCACACACAGTGGAATACTGTGGAGCTATTCAAAAAGGCCAAATACAGTCATATGAGGTTGGGTGACATGATGTTGACTAGAACAAGCTGGACTCAAAGGAGAACCACCATATCTGCCGCATATATGGAACCTGCAATGACCGTAGAGAGATTTGGAGTGACTACTGACTGGGTGCTGGAAAGGATGGGGCAGGGAATGCAGGACACCGATTAATGGAAACAAAATTGCAGATGGGTAGAAGGAACCACGCCCAGGGTTGTAAAATACAATGGGGTTGTAAAATACAAGTTAATAATAACGTAGTGAGTATCTCAATGCGAATGATCAGGTACTCTAATTGCTGTGATTTAGTCGTTAAATACTTACTGACTGGGTGCTGGAAAGGATGGGGCAGGGAATGCAGGACACCGATTAATGGAAACAAAATTGCAGATGGGTAGAAGGAACCACGCCCAGGGTTGTAAAATACAATGGGGTTGTAAAATACAATGTGGAGAATGCAGAATACAATGTGGAGAATGCAGTTAATAATAACATAGTGAGTATCTCAATGGGAATGATCGAGGTACTCTAATTGCTGTGATTTAGTCCTTAAATACTCTGTTCACATACTGTTAAGTCACATTGTAACAATGCTTTGTTGATACAAATTTTTAATTAAATAAAAATAATGAAGCGGATAAGTATGTCCAGCACCCGAATGCCCAGGTTTTTAAGTACTGTGCTGAGATTGTTAATAAAAGTCATTGCTGCATAGCTAACTTTTGCTCTAAGCTTGCTTGTATATTATCTCATTTTTTTTAGAGAGATTTTTGCTATAGGACACATGAGCTCACCAGAGAGACACAGAGAGTCAGATAGTGAGAAATCATACATCAAAAGGATGGCCACGCTGCAATCCCTTCTCCTCCATTCTCTTCTGGGGATTTTTGGTATACATGCGCATGTACTCAGCATCAGATTCAAACTACCAGGTCTGGGACTTGAACCACAGTGAGCCGCGTAGGAGTCCAGCAATGCAACATCACACTAGCTGCTGGTCTTATCGCATTGAATACTGATGAGAGTTCTGAAACATGCCTATCACTGCCCTTATTGGACAAGGGGTGCACCAGGTACCGTAGCTCAAATAACTTGTCCCATGCTAGACCCTGGATTTGATCTGCGGCTTCTTGACACCAAAGATCATGAGCTTCTCACAGTGCTATTCTAAGACATGGTATCAGTGACATTTTTTGGTTCAAAATCCTAGAGGATAAAAGATTTTAAGCCAGCAAGCCCTCCAGGACAGCAAATGAATCTGCTCTGATTAGAAGCACACGGTGGAAGGAGGTGTGGAAGTGACGGAGCTGAGAAAAACACAGAGGGGGTTGGCTTCGTGCATTTTACTACTGAGAAACTGGGTTCTGGGAGACTGAGTGGTTTGCCTGGGACAGAAGCCAGAACCAGGGGGACAACGGCCTCCCGGGCCCTCTCCAGGCCCCACGGAGGCGAGCACTCGGGTGTCTCACCCAGGGTCTAACTCAAAAGCACACCGAGACACGCTGCACATGCAGGGCTCTCAGTCATGTGTCTTCACTGGATTTAATTTTCATCAGACAGCATACTCCTAAGCCCGGACACCCCGGAGCATCCTGGCTGTCTCTGTCTGTTCTTCTCTGGGGGCCAGCGGTGTCCTGTGTTGGAGTCAATGGACCCCTCAGGGCATGACATAATTGGGCTTGAACTCGGAATTCAAATCTCCTGAGAATAACAGATGGGTTTTAAAAATAGTCATCTTTCTCCCTCCCCCTTTTCACAGCTTCTCTTAAAATGCAGTAGAAGCTTATTACCACTTAACTCATAATTATGCAAGTTTGTCTCTATCTACCTCAAGGAATACTGTCCAGAATGTACCTACAGAGCACCACACTTCACCATCCAATGCAAGTGTGAGTCCTGCCTGCCGAAGACGTGAACAGGGCTGCTAGTGCAGGAGGGCAGTTCATGAGCAATGAGGTCACTCCTTGGAAGAGGCTGGTGCAGACTCGGGCTGTGCACCCTGAGGCACTTCTTGTCTGTGACAACGTTGCCTCATGGGTGTAACCTGGGTCCCGCGCACCCAGCCCGGCATGCTCAAAGTTCTCAAAGGAAACACAGGAAATAAGTGAAAAACTATCTGAGGCCTTTGAAGTGGGACTACCCACAGGAGGTCCCATTTCTGAACATGACATAGCTCTTCTTCCTAAATATGTCTATTTTTCAGTATAAAAAAATCTCAAATACGGTCATTTAAAAATTCTACTTGAGCTGGATTGGAGTTGTCGAGCCAAAGGCTCAACTCATTTGACGGACGCTGCTTTATCTCATTAGAAGCATAACTCTCCAAATCTAGCATTTATCTTTTCTTTTTTTATTCTTCTCTCACACAGAATAAAATGAAATCAACTTAAAAACAAAACACTTGGAGAAATGGAGTTATTAAGTTCCGCCTCCCACATGCTCACAGCATGACGAGCCATTGGGGAAATGATTCCGGGCGTTCGGGAACTCACTCAAGTTTGCATAGCGGTGCTGTGTCCTTGTTCCTGCTCTACGATTTCACGTCCCTGGATAGAGGGTTCAAAGCTGACTGGACCCTGAAAACAGCACCTCGAACTTTGATAACTTTAAATGCTTTCTCTCGAGACCGCGAAGGGCTGGGAGTCCCCTGGGCCCCGTGTTCACACCAGCTCAGCCACCCCCACACTAGGAGCACATGGGGTGTATGTGAGCAACTATTCCCAGCAGAGCATACACGGCCCTCAAGTCTTAACAG